AGCGGACATGATCACGGACTACAAAGACATCATCGTTGCAGCCGCCCGAAAGGTGGACCAAGGAATTATCGATGTCGAGAAAAACGAAACCTGGGAAAGAGTCAAAATGCACGGGATCTGGTTCGACCAGTACGCAGTCAAGAAGACGGGAGGCTTGGACAAACTGAGGCAGGAAATTCAAGCAGAAAATGAGGGAATTGTCATCCCTATGCATGTTACATGGCTGGGAAAGACAACAGATATCAAGGAAAAGAAAAAGATGGGACAAAGCAGTCGTCGTCAGTCGTCTTTTCAATCAAGGGAAAGAAGATGGCCAAAAATGTATTGAGAAACGACTGAGGGCAGCAGGAGTTTGGCACAAAGTGGAAAGGTTTATTCGGGCGGGGCCAGACACCTTCTGTGAGAGCTGCTGCGGATGGGGACATCACGTATCCAAATGCGGCAGACTAGGAATGGTCAAGTGCATGTTGTGCGCAGGACCACACAAGACAGAAGATCACCAATGCGACGTTGTGGATTGCAGGGCCAAGAAGGGGCAGAACTGCATCCATAACCAGGACAAGTGCGCAAACTGCAAGGGAAGTCACATCGCCAGAAGTGGTGCTTGCCCCAAAAAGCAGGAAGCTATAAAGCAGGCCAGAGAAGAGAGAACCACGTGGAATGAGAGAGCTAGAGGAGGAAGGTTCCAAACATTAGGCAGAGAAGAGGAGGTGAAAGAAAGAGAGGACAAGGCACCCGCCACAGCAGACGGAGAAATGAAAGTCGGGGAAAGTCAGGTCCAAAGCAAGGAAAACAAAACGACAATGGAAAGGGAAAAGGAAAGCAAGTTGAGGAGATCCAGGTGCCAGCCAAACAACAAGGATCGGAAGAATCTATCGCCGCCACTCAATGGTGAAAATCCTCCAAGCAAATTGTGGGAGGGGGAAGGATAGCACGTTGTTGGCACTGGAAAAAGGAATAGAGTCGGGGGCAGATTTGGTGGTGTTACAAGAAGCTTATCAAGGAAGAGTGGAGGAGTACCAGATCAGTCATCCCGGCTTCAGACTTATTAAAGGAACACGCACAATGTCAGCTGTTAGGACCGACACACCCATCAAAATAGACGAGTTGGGGGACTTCGGGGGACAAGGAGACATCCAAGTGCTCAGGATAACCAACAACAAAGGAGTAAAAGTCACAGTCGTCAACGCCTATGATCAAGTACTCCAGGAGAACAACACCAGGACTACAATCAGAAGAGCCAGAGAGGCAAACTGGTCGGAAATGCTGGAATCAAAAAACGTGGTAGTCTGTGGGGATTTCAACGCACACAGCCCTATGTGGAATGATGGGAGCAGCCAGAGAAGAAACGCAACCTTCCTGGAGAACCTCATCGAACAACATAACCTGGAAGTGATAAATGATGGCCAATCAACATGCATCACCACCATCAACAACCGCACTACCGAGTCAATTATCGATATCACCCTGGCCAGGGGGGGAGGGGTGGCAGACATAACGGCAAGAACGATGGTAGAAGACCACGAGGACATAGGATCGGACCACAAGATGATAGAAGTTGTTTGGGGGAAGAATCATCAAAGGGTACGAGCCAAGTATATACAGGATGGAATATAGACAGCATGCAAGAGGAGGATTTGAAGCAGGCAAAGGAGTGGTGGAAAAAGTGGAGCGACAAGAGAGGGATGCTGTCGGACGAAAGCACAATTCAACAGTGGAAGATGAAGCCACAGCAGTAAGGGAAACCATGACTGAGGTGCTAAATCAGAAGGCGAAGAAAACAAGAATCTGTGCAAGATCAAAGAGGTGGTGGAACCAAGACATCGCAGAGAAAAGGAGAGTTTGGGAGCCATGAAAGAATGTTAAGAAAGAGAGAAACCAACCACGCAGCGTTAAGGAGGCAAGGAAGGTTATGAAGAAAGCCATAACGGCAGCAAAAGGGAATCTTGGAATACATTCGTGCAGGAGGCAGAGGGGGATCAAGTATGGAGGGCACTCAAGTATACCAAGGGCAACAACAGTCTAACGGTTAAACCATTAAGGAAGCAGGACGGAGTCTAGCCACCTCGTGGGAAGAAAAGGCTGAAATGATAAAACAAATAGGATTTCCGAAACCGTTACAAGGAATCCAAAAGAGCGCAAAACCCCTAGGAGGAACCACCTTTGAGGGCATAGGGAGAGACGAAGTCAAGACGGCAGTGTTCGGCCAAAGCGTCAAAAAGGCGCCAGGACCAGACAGAATCGGCTTCCAAGCGATAAGACTTCTATGGAGTTGGGATGAAGAGAGAATCATCAACATAGTAAGAACAGCAATCCGATTAGGCCACCACCCAAAGGAGTGGAAAACCGTCACAGGAGTCGTCATTCCCAAGCCAGGCAAGGATGATTACCATCTAGCTAAAGCGTACAGGTCATTGCGCTCGAAAATTGTTTAGGAAAGTGGTCGAAAAGGTGGTAGCAACGGTGATATCAGACAAGTGTGAGAGGGAGGAGCTACTACATGACGGCCAGTTTGGATGCAGAAAAAGAAGATCGGCGATTGATGCTGTAGCAAGGATGATAAAGAGTGTGGAAGAAGCGTGGGGAGAGAAGAAAGTTGCAGCAGCGTTGTTGATGGATGTGAAGGGGGCTTTCCCGAGCGTCGCAAAGGGGAACCTATAAAGGGAATGGAAGACATGGGCTTTGAAGCGGATGTGTGCAGGTGGACCGAAAGCTTCATGTCAGAAAGAAAAGCCACAATAAGATGGATGGAAGAGAAGGAGAAGTGATGTGTGTGGAGACAGGGGTGCCGCAAGGGTGCCAGTGTCGCCTATCCTCTTCGACATCTACATCTCGAATCTGTTCTTTCAATGGAACCTTCACCACCAAAATGGTTCTTCCAGAAGAAAGACGAAACGACAACAGCACTGTCCTTCGTTGACGATGTAGCATGGGTAGTGAGAGGAAACAACGTCAGCCAATGCACACAATAGATGGAAAAGTCGCAAGAAGAGCAAAGGAGTGGGCGGCAGCAAACGCCGTTGAATTTGACATCACAAAACCGATGCAGTCCTGTTCTCGAAAAAGCGAAATCATCAAGGTGGAAAAGTTAAACTCAAAATCCAAGTTGTCAAGGACATCCAGATCAACTTCAACACCAAGGCGACAAGATGGCTGGGAGTCCACCTAGACAGGAAGCTCAACTTCCAGAGTCATCACGACATCATCATGGCCAAAGCGAGAAAGGCACAAGGCAAAGTTCACTCGATAACAGGAAAACTAGGCCTCAAACCCGACAACGCAAGAAAAGTTCAAATCGCAGCAGTTCAGTCCGTGGCACTGTACGGGGCAGAATTGTGGTGGGATGGACAAATAGAACGACAGTTCGAAATCCAGAAGCTGGTCAACGTTGCAGCAAGAAGAACCACTGGAATGTTCAAGTCGTCACCGATAGTACCGCTGGTCCAGGAGGCAGGTTTAAGACCGGCAATATCGCTTCTCAACAATAGAGTCAGACAGTTTGCCAAAAGATTATCGGAAATGCCAGCAGGAAGGGGTGGAGGAGAGTGCATGGAGGGGAACAGCAAACTGGCATCAAGATTAAGAAAGTCGATTGGGATAGAAGGGAAGGGAGAACAGAACACCCTACCGGAATTCGATCTCAAAGCCGACGCAAAAGTGTTCATCCTGGACAGGAAAGAGGCTCTCAAGTACGTGCATACTAGGGAGGAAGGGCTCATTCTGTGGACAGATGGATCAAGACTTGAGAACGAGCAAGTAGGTAGCGCAGTGGTATGGAAAGAAGGGGAGGAATGGAGAAGTGACAAGAGCTACCTGGGAAAGGAAAAAGAAGTTTTCGATGCCGAAGTCTACGCCGTTTTAAGGGCCCTACTCAAAGCAGTCGAAACTAGCAAAACAAAGGAAATGGAGAAGATCACCATCTTCTCTGACTCAACAACAGCCATCCAAAGAGTCCAACACACGCAGTTAGGACCAGGACAAGCAATGGCGATCAACTGTGTTAAACTCAACAACATGTTAGCGGGACAGGGTGCTCAGTTGGAGTACAGGTGGGTTCCATCTCATCAGGGTGTTGAAGGCAACGAGAAGGCAGATGAAGCAGCAAAGGCAGCGGCAGAACACGTAGACGGAGAAGCGTTGGAGCTGAAGGAAAAATACAGAGGGTGGTCCATGGCCAGGGTACAAAGAAAGGTTACCGAGGCCAAGTGGCAAGATACAGAAAAGTGGTGGAAGGCCAAGTTCAACAGCAAAAAGTCGGTTTATAGAATGAATAGAAAGAGGAGGATGCATGTGCTGTTGGGGGAGGCCAAAAAGAAAATAGCGGGAAGGTACTTTCAGTTGAAGGTGGGTCACGCCCTCACTGGAGTGTTTCTGGAACGTATAAAAAAGAATGAAAGTCAGGAGTGCTGGTGGTGCGGGCACAAATGACAAACAAGGGACCACTTGTTTAAGTGGTGCAAAAGGTGGAAGCGACAGCAGGATGACCATTGGAGAAGGTTGAAGAAGAAGTGTGGGTGGAAGGAGAGAATGAAGGTCCCTATGTCGCAGGTGTTTGACACAGACAAGGCGGTCAAAGCGGTGCTGAAGTTCCTTCGGGATACGGAAGTAGGAAAGGTCACGGGGATGAGGCAGGGGGTTGAGGCAGAAGGGTAGAGGAGGGTGGAAAATGTAGTAGAGAAAATTTTCCTTTGTTTGTTTGGCGGACTATGGGGAAAAGGAGACAGGAAACGTACGACTTGGATCCAAGAGGGCTGCGGGGACACCCAATGCTCACACTGGGGATATGCCGTGGAAAAGGTTTATAGATTATGTCATGGCCACAAGTGGCCAAATACAATATGATTCAAACAAAAAAAAACAGAATCAAGCCCAAGGCAGTGGCAGCAATCCGGGGCGATGAAGAAATACAGAACACAAGTCATCATTTTTCTCCTTCTCACACCAGTTCCAAACTCTAAGTTCACGCTATATTCAAGTCAAGCACATACCAAACATCCAGCAGCCCTGTGGTGAAATGGCTTACACGTGGAGTATCTTTACGATTTAATGACATCCAAGTATATTTGCAAGGTCATAGTTCGAATCTGTGCAGGGCTGTTTCTTTTTTGCTGAATTGATCAATCTATGGGGCAATTAAGCTTTGGGGGATGTTGAGAGTCATAAGATTTTGTCCACTACTAAATGTGAGCTATGAAAATAACGAAACCGCCACCACATGCTTCCGTTGTATGATTGAATTATTATCTATCAATGGATGCTATGAAGGAGACAGTCGAGGTTACTTGGCTCTAGAGAACAGCTTAATGAGAGAGGGACAAATCCGTATAACTGCCCAATTTTACGCTGTACTAACATTCCTGTTGCAGATGACATCCTCTCCCTCAAATTAATCCCTTTGTACGAGCTGTTGAAAGCTACCGATTTTGGATTAGGGTTTTCTCATATATACTAGAAGAATACATCGTCACCAGAATTGTTACGAGGTGCTCCACCTCAAGATGATCCGATGCTTGCGATGGGCACGTACTGAGCCTCGGGACATGAGCCGGCCCGAACACCATAAGTAACTGTGAATTAGTCTGAGAGCCTTGATCTTTAGCTTGAGCTCTGTTCAAGGGATCTCCGATGTACTTAAGTACTTAAGTAAGTATCTAGTGGATAATATTAGTGGATCACATTCCCTCATGCGTTTTATGAGGCCATGATTCTGTTACGGATATACTTAGATTGTCAGCATTTGTAAGGCTTATGGTGGCTTATGGAGGCGGACTGACGAAGTGGGCTGACGAGGCGGGCTGACGAAGCTCAGCCGTTTCTATAGATAGATGGAGTGTACGCACCTGCTCTCTGGAGTACTGTATATATATGGCTTCCCTTGCCTTGTAGATAAATCAATTAAGCATCAAAAGTAACAGCTTATGAGCCCGGCAGTCACTATCATTTAAGTTCTATTCTACTACTCTATTAATATCTCATGATCTACAAGAGCCTCCACAACCCTAACCCACACTATGTACCAAACCCAACTTCATCACTATCACTGCCCAACTTTATTTTTCCAACACCTCCTCCAACCTCCAGTATGTCTACCAATAGCTTCAAAACTGACTACAATTTTATTCCAAAGCTGATCAGGAAAAACAACCTTATTTGGTGAGAAAAAATTCAATAAATACTTAGTCATTGTAGAAGTGCAGGTGTAGTTTGACAACTCCCAACTTTGTAAACTTCCAAAAGAAAGTTCAAAAAGAAAGCTCACTTTCATGTAACAGATTGCATTAGTCACTGGGCATCTGTTGGTAAGTTTAAAGTTTCCGAAAGTTATGCATATAGATATTTGGATATTTTCTGTGTTGCAACTGATTTTTCTCTGGATAGTTGGTACTTTCTATAACTTTCATTTAGAATACCTTATATCTGGTCACTTTGCATAGTTGGATGCTTCTGCAATTATGTCTTTCTGGTGTCTATCGGATAGACTATAAGTTCACTTACCATCCAACAGAAAGGTCAATTTATAGCTATCGATATTTCTGTATTTATGTTTTAATATTATTTCTAGACTTTTGTGTATTTCAAGTTTGGGTACTTTGGTTTGCTGTCTTTGGACAGTTATAATCATGTGGCATGCAGGCCCATATTACTTGAGTTGATATCATTGATTGGTACCATATATCCAATAATGGAAGTAGCCCTGTAGTACTGACTGGCAGATATGTGACTCCAATTAATGGTTGTGCACCTAACTATTGGAAAATCCATAGAAAGTGTCACAACTATGTCACCAGTAGGCAAAGAGTCAAGGATGTGCTATTGTGGTCTATGATATCTCCTTTGAAAAGATTCAATAATATACCACTGCAGTCTATGCTATCTTCTTGGAAAACATTCAATGATGTACTACTGTGGCCTATAATATCTACTTATGGTATCTAAACTCATTTGTTAGGCCATAAAACACATTTTTGTCATACCTACTGGAAAAGCCCAAATTGAAAAGGTAGTTTAATACTATTAACCGAACCATATAGGGTCGAAAAGAGTTCATATAAGCTTGATTCAAAAACCACTCAATACAATACATGTGTCCAAAACCTACTAAGTATCTATATGAATATTTATACAGTAAAGTATATTAATCCAAACTACCTTATCATTATCATTATTGCCAGATGACTTTTCTTATAGTCATCTCTCTTCCTCCTGCTGGACTCTCTGGTAGTCTATTATGACCTATTGCTTTAGTTAGGCTATACTTACCAGACCATTTGTGTCAAGGGTTCAGGGCTCGGTATCGAGGGTTCAGGGCTCGAGGTTCTAGAGGTTTTAAAAACTACAATCCGGGTGGTCGAGGAATCTACGAGTAGCCTGTAGCTATGAAACGAGGACTGTATGCAGGAGACTCAATCCAGAATCACCGAGTGTGAAAGAAGTGAAAGCTGAAGCTAGTTGGCTGTTTTATAGATGAGTGAACGAGTGAAGAAAGAAACTTATCCTCCACCAAACGCCTGGTTTATATACAGTTATTTCACTCATTCCATAATACATCTGAACTCCTGCTTTCTTTGTACACTGCTTTTGTGCGATTCCGTCATTTCCCGTAAAACCCTGATTCGCAACAGGATTGCATTCTGGTCATGCCTTAGCCTCCGTTCAAAACCTGATATCATTCACATTATGCTTTAGCCTCCATTCGAAACCTGATTTCATTCTTGTTGTGCTTTATCTTTTATATTATTCACCAATCATCACTCCACCACCAATTGTCACTCAACACAACCGTGACAATTTGGGATTGCTTGCACCTTAGTCAATCTCACCACTGGAACCACATTGCTTTTTGCCTGGTCAATCTCTTTCATCTCTATTTATATGGAATTGGAGGCAAATGGAACTATTCTATATGTAGAAGTGAATATTATTGGTGATGCAGCCAAAATTATATGAAAGCCAACTATACGAGTGACCCACAGAGTGGTACTAATGCAGTACAACCATATCCTAACATGACTACCTGCATTACAACCTTCTTCAATTATCTTCAAGAAACCTTTTGAAGAAACAAAACACCCAAATAAAACACAAATATGTTTCCTGGATATCTCTTAACCATTTGAACAAAATGAAAATATGGGATTTTTGCATCTCGCTGTAAGGATGTTTACGAGCAAATACGGTTCCGTACGATCAGAAATGTCAAATACAATAGATACGGTGGCACACAGGAATATGTGATTATATGGAGTATAGTAATATGTAAGATTATTGCTGGAGTGCAATTGCACTCCTGCGAAGTGGCTATATACTGGGCGGTTACCCAGCCCTCAGCTGGCTGCCATCACTTGACCACTGCCGTTACATCGTTCCCCTCTCTAGCTGCAAATCCCCTGGGCTGCCATACGTGTACATGAGAAAAGAATGAAAAAAATAAGGTCCAGACTCGTACGCCCTCGTACAGCCTCATCAATCCCGCAACTGATCAGTACCGCTCAATGGTGACCTTTTGGTCGATCCGGTGCACGGGGTAACTCCACCTCCAGTGGTTGGTGTAAAGAACCTATGCCAATGCCATTTGTACCGGGCCGAGATCCAATAAGAGAAAAGAAGAAAAGAAGCAAAGAATATAAAGAAACCTTCAATTTGGCCCATTCCATCTGACTCCTGTAATCCTTAAAGTTGTAGCTTTGAGGGATGTTCCTTATGGAATTTTGCAACTAGTTCTGGTGCATTTTTGAGGTTTTCTGCGGGCTCCCAGCGCGATCGGATGTAATTATAGCCTCCCTATTGATCCAAGTAGTGGAGTCATCAGTAGCATCGCTTGGAGTCAAGGATTCTCTCGACCTCCCATTTATTGGAATCATCAACTCTCATTGGCTGCGGTTCCGATGGTGGCTGGCCGATTGCAGGAGGGGAGTATTTTTCAAGCAGAGAGATGTGGAAGACGTTGTGAATGCCCTTCGTACTTGGTCAGCCCAGTTTGTATGCGTTCTTATTGATGACTTTACTTACCGTATATGGCCCAGCACTTTTATAATCCAGTTTCTTGGATGGTCTAGTCATCTTTATATTTTGAACCGAAAGCCAAACCTGAGCGCCAGCCTTGAACATCATGTCTTTGCCTCCGGCATACTTTGTCCGGCAGGCTTGGGCATCGAGCAGGTTCTCTTGGAGAATTCGATGAGTTTCCTCCAATCCAGCAGCCATGGAGTCGGCTTGCACATTTGATTTTAAGTGCGCATGTTTTGGTGTCTTGAACTGCATGGTCAGGTGGTAGTTATCGTTGGCCCAGAATGGTGACATCTTCATCGAAGCATGCATGGAGTTGTTGTATGCAAATTCAGCCAAGGGCAGGAGTTTGACCCAGTTATCCTGCTTATAGTTGCAAAATGCTCGGAGGTATTGTTCCATTATTTGGTTCTGGTGCTCTGTCTGGCCATCAGTCTGGGGATGGAAGGCAGTTGAGAGCCAGTGGTGTAGGCTCAAATGAAATCAGACTCTCGACCAGAATCAACTTGTAAATTGAGTGCCGCGATCACTGATGATGTTGTCAGGTACGTCATATTTGCAAGTAACATGTTTGAAGCAGAGTCAGGCCAGTTGTGGTGAACCGAGTTCTTTCCGGCATGGGAGGTAGATGGCCATATTTGTGAGCTGATCAACAATGACAAGAATGCCTGTATACTCAGATGCTGTTGACTCAGGCAAGTTGTTGACGAAATCCATGGTGACCCCTTCCCAGTGTCGAGATAGTGGTTCCAGTGGCATGTTTACTACGTGGTGGGCATAGTGGGGGGCCTTGACTTGGTGGCACACTTCGTACCAGCTCACATATCATCGGATGTACGCATCGATCGTGGGCCAGTAAAAGTCTGTAGATACTAGTTCATGTTAGGGGTTTTCCCTTATCATGCGTATGAGGTACATCAGGCTTAGTCTCCCAGGCTCACATATGACAGCTTGTGTCAGATGGATGAGAACATACCCTTGAGGATGTCTACTGGTGAGTAAGTGGAAGGCTCAACATAGCTGGGTGCAATTCCCGTAATATTTCAAGCTTCCATACTGGGTCCTAGCAAAATGGGCTAGCTAACCCATGC